ACGCTCAAGTCAACAAGGCTGAAAGAGGCTAGTATAGTAAGGGCTAGGGAGTATAGAGGTTATCGGAAGTCTAGTCGGGGACTGTGACTATGGCAGTGATGTGAGGCTCTCAAGTCAGAGCTTCAGGTGTGAAGGTGTAATGTCATGTCCCTTGTGAGAGGGCTGACCTCTGCTTATATAGTGATTGTCTGGACTCCCAGTCCTGGTGGGAGTAGGAGTTCTAGTGTGACTCTAATACGAACCCTAGAGGAATTAAGGCGGTGGTGAGCTGTCTTACCAGTGTTCGAATAGGAAGGTGATCCCGAACAGGAAAGCAACCTGGAGTAGGAAAGTGATTTGAACAGGAAGGTGACCTCGAATAGGAGATTGATTAGAAATAGGAAAGTGATATGCGGGGGCCATGGGCTCTGAACTCGCGTATAGGTTTAGGAAGTCTGCTGGGATTGGGAGGCTCGTGCCCAGATGGTTTGGGCCGGCTGTATCTTGTATCAATGGGTTTAATCCGGATTGGATCGCATCGAGATTGGGCCTGGTCTCTTCCACATTGTCAGGCCTATTTTCGTACTTGGGCCAAGGATGATTTTTGGCCCTAACAACACTTACTTTCTATCTATTAAATTTAACACTCATCTTCTATCTGTTCAATCTAATTTTCAAACAAATAATTAAACAAAGTAGAGTGGTTTACACCTCGTATATGAAAAGTTTTGAAAATTTAAGCAGTGATCTTCGAATAATTTTTTAAAGTTTAATATAATAAATAAAAATTAAATTTCATAATTTAATTATCTTAGATTTGTATCAAATATGCAATGTTATTTGTTATGCGTTAATATATTCATAACTAATGTGTATTGGTTGAAATATTATTTTAAATAACGAAAACTTTTCTTAATTGGTGTTTTCCTATGCTCACCAATAAGGCCAGACTTTTACTTTTTATGTTCACGAATCTGAAAATTGTAACCACTATTGGGTGGTCTAATGGAAAAAGAGCAAAAAAATATTCTATAAGCTCTTGAGTTCAAATCCTCCTAGGCACTAATAGGGGTAGCCACTGGGGTTCTTACCTGACCAGTAGTTTAAGGGTCTCGAACGATTAGTTGAGGTGCATGCAAGTTAGTCCAAATATCCCCCGATGATTAAAAAAAAATGAAAATTGTAATTTACAAAATATTAAAACGCCTTTTCACCACCCAATTAATTCATATAATTTTACTAAAATTACATAATTATATTAAAATCGATCGGCATTCTTAAAACACAAGATATTATCATTTAGAGATTATATTGTTAAAAAACTAAAAAAAAAAATAAAAGTACAAGTTTCATTTTATCATTCAACGACCACTTTTTATCCGTTAAAAGACTCTTTTTAAAAAAATGTTTGTTTATTAATAAAAAAAATTTCGTTGAATGATAAATGTAGACTTATATTATCTATCTTCTAGTTTAAAATAAAAATGTCCTCTAAATGGGGCAGGCCCTCAAAATCACTCCCCACCCCTACCCTATCCCCGTTACGGTGATGATAGGAATTCCCCTTTCTCACCCCAAAGGGGGATGGTGGAAGCTTGTCCCCGCCCCGTTAATTTTACATAAACATAAATTAATTTGAGCATTACCAAATATAATAGTTAATTTTCATCTACATGACAAACACTTAAATTAATCGTTTAAATATAGTTAATTTAACATAAATATGGGTTAGGGTTTGTTCTTATTCAATTGTTTAGGGTGAGGGAAATTGGGAAAATATAGATTTATATAGGTAGGATAATTCTGTAATTAGGTGAAATATAGGAGTATTAGTATATATATATATATATTCTTTTTTTTTATATATAATATATAAGGGGCGGGGCGAGGGGAAAGGCATCACCCACCCCTGCCCCAATCCCCAAAAAAACCGGGGCTTCCCCACCCCATATGGGGCAGGTTGGGACAGGTCTCCGAAATTCTGGGGAACATTGCCATGTCTACTAAATCCTCTTAATGATAATAACCCCTTAAAATACTTCAATTTTATTTGTAATTCCATTTTTATCTTTATTTTGGATAGAAATAAAGACTAATGAAAAATAAATAACAGGAAAGTGATTTTTTAAACCCACCTAATTGATTTTTAGCCCCCACTTTTTTTTTTACATATTTATCTTAATTTAAATGACTAGAAATAACATTATAATATCTAAAATCTAAATACACTCATACTTTATTTATATTTTGTTTAATTTTTAACATGTAATGTTACACAAACTGTAACTCTAAATTTTGTAACTAATCTTAATATTCATAGTCATTAAAATATTTGTTTTTATTAAATATTTGTTTGTTTGATGAAAATATAATATTAAAACTATGGAAAAAAGTAATTAATAACATGATGAATTCGAAGAAGAGAAAATAAGTTGAATTTAGGAAATTGCGAGAAAAAAAAAGTGTAAAGAAAAAACCTAATTAAGTTTGATTGAGAAATAGGTTGTAAAATAAAACCTAATTAAGCTTAGAAGGTATTTCAATATTAAATAGGATTTAAAGAGTTTTTTTTTTTTTAATTATAGAGAAATATACTTAGCCATGGTTATGAAGATCAATTAATGGGGGCTAAAAATACTTCGCAAAAGGATGTGGGGGATAAATGATATTTCGCGAATCCTAATGGATAGACCCTTTCGAAGCCCAAGTTAAATCTAATGGACTGGCCCACCCCGAAGCCCAATGATTTTTTTTTTTTTTTTTTTATTAAATAAACCCTATCAATCAATCCATATCAAGTCAACATCATGATTTACGTGTGTTTAATAACTCTCCAACGTGAATGATAATTGCACGACCATATTGCCATCAATATATATGCGATTGACCCTGAAAATATTATTATTTTTTTTTAAACATTATTAATAGAAGTGGATGTGATCCGACTGACCACATGACCGTGGGCCCCGATCTACCGTTGATTTTTTTGACCCCTTCTTCAAAATGGACCTTCAACTTGATTATGATTTACGAAACTAACCACCGTAGCCTTTCTTTGACTCCGATTCCTTTCTTTACTCAACTTCATCCACTTTTTTTAAAATGATCTAAAAATATAAATTTATTAATATATCTTTATCTAAAAAAAAAACATTCTACGGCTATTAAAATTCGCCACGATTTCATTATTATAAAAGGATAAAAGATAACATATTTTCCCACCCAAGGTTTGCCTGAATGACACTTGTAAACCAAAAGTTTTTAAATACCACTTTTCCACCCAAAGTTTATATTCCGTTATACCCAAAGCTAATTCTGGCCGATTTTGATGGTGAAAATTTCTTCGTCACCAACATTTAAACCTTGGGATTTTCTTTACAAACCTCTCTCAATCCGACACCTGATTTCTCGTCGATTGTTGGTCACGCAAAACTAGGTTTCTTGTTTTTAGTTTATTTTGGTTGATTTTGACGATAAATATTCAATTGGTCATCACCATTCAATCCATCGGCCTCCACTCTACAAAAGCTCTCTTATTTTGGCTCTTAATAACTCGTCGAACACGGATAAAAAGTGAAGTATATTTTTTGTATTAAAGGAATATAAATTTTGGCGGAAAAAATGGTATTTTGAAGCTTTTTGGGTGGAAAAGATCTTAAGGCAAACCTTAGGTGGGAAAAAGTCGTTTTCTCTTCAAAAAAATAGATTAAAAATAGAAATTTTATAAAGATTAAATTTTAGAAATGGGAAATTTGTTAACCTCCATAAAAACATTTTTGGATTTGTAAATTTTTCATAAAATCTTATAAATATTATAACCACTTGCTAATTTCTTCATATAAAAATTTCAAACTGAGTACGTTTATTAGTAAAATTTATATGCTAGGAAATATTCTAAATATATAAACTATTAAAATTGGCAATTCAAATTTCAAAAAGCTAACTTTAGTAATAAAAAAGTTACCATTTTACATTTCATTTAATTAGTAAATCTTATGGCTGGCACGTGATGATGATCCTATCACATTCTCGCCTAATAACTTATTTAGAGAAAATTTCATGACATCCAATATTCTTAAAAAGAATTTCAGTACTCACAAATTCCATAAACTAACAATCGACACCTCTAAATTTGATGATAATGCAGGAATTACATGACACCATAAGTTCTAAAAACACAATCAGATCTTACAAATTCCATAAATTCACAACTTTATCTCTAAATTTAGTTGACATTCACTTGATTGCTTCAATTAAATACAACTAGATCATAGCAATACCTTCACTGTTGTTCTTGTCATAAGGGTTACACCGTTACTCAGAAGGTGGGGTATTTTCACTGTCAAATATGATTAATCAAAAATGTGTTGAGTAGGAGAGTAAAAAAGAGATAACATTGTTAGTTTATGGAAAATTGTGCGTAATAATGTTCCTTCACAATACTTAAGGGGTGTCGATAAATTCCCATTTCATAATAGATATTTGAATAAGTTGCTATTACTTTAGAAGTTTATGCATTTATATATTATTATTTCCTATTAATTTAATTTGCAAGGTCAATTTTTAATATAATTATGTGGATAATGAGAACCAAGAATAAACTCAATACAATGAATAAATACATATGATATTTAGGTTTAGAAAATAGTATAATGGGATAATTTTCTATGGATTTATCTACCAAAATAAGTAATGGTCAAAAAAATATATTCACTCCCTAGACATTTGGATAGCTCGTATATGGTCTAAATTGTCTCCTGTAGGTTTTATTTAATTAAACTTAAACTTAATAGTAAGGGGATTTGTGTTATTTTTGAAACCTCAGGAGAATATTTTATTGTCATACGTTAGGGGAAGTATGAAAATTAATAAAACAAAAATGAGGATCATTAATTTGAAGAGTAGCAGTATTGTAATTTCGCACCAACAAATGGCAAAAACAGAAGGTCTACTTCCATAAATCCTCCTTCCCACGCCCACAGTACTCTCTCTTTAAAGCCCAACTCCAAGTCCAGCCCCATTCTCCCCCCCTCTCTCTCTCTCTCCATGAAAAAAAAAAAAAAAAAAAAAAAAAACAGGAGCAGATAAACGAAAACAAAATCCTCAAACCTCACCAAAATCAAAATCAAACAAGCCATGGAACCCGCTTTGTCGACTCAAACGTCAACGAATCTCCCGAGATCACCCAGCACACTCCATACCAAACAACAATAACAACAATGATCACGGCTGGCAAAAGGTCACTTACGTCAAGCGCCAGCGCAAGGCCGCTAAACCTAACGCCGATCCGTCCGCCGTTACCGCTCGTACTAACGGCTCCGGTTAATGGAGATAAGAGTAGTGTGTTCGTAACCTCGAGCAGCAAGCCGAGGAACGACGTCGTCGATGGTCAGCGCTCAGCAGGCGAACGTCGCTGTTGTTCACGCTCCTCAAGTGAGATCGAAACACCGATCTGACGACGAGGACGAAAGCGAGAGTGACGCGGAGGCTGCCGAAAACGGCAAGGCCGAGGAGGTTAAGAAGGTGAAGCAAAAGAAGCCGAAGAAGCCGAAGATTCTGTGGCGGAAGCTGCGGCCAAGATTGACTCGGCCGATCTCGCGCATTTCTTGTTGATATATCGGTAAGGGAGGAAATGGTTTCCGAAATGTGCGGTTTTGTTGGTGATTCGTTTCGATCCGTTGATTTGATTGGATGTTTGATTAGGGCACGTATGGATCCCAGCAAGAGATACAAAGATGAGGTTTGCTGATTATTTCGGGAGGGCATTTTCGGCGGTCAGTGGTCTCAGTTCCCTTGGATGAAGCTTTTCAAAGAGAACACCGTGGCGAAGATGCTGATGTAAGTTCGTGATTTTGTTTATGAAGCTTACATTGTGATGTCGAAATATCAATGTTTGTAAAATTGAAGAATTGTTTGAAAGGTTGGGTTATGAGGAGGCACATTTTATAAATCTTATTTGCTTTTATTAATTTACTGTTTAGAGTTTCATGTGGGTGATGAATGATTTTTTTTTTTTTTTTTTTTTTTTTTTTTTCAATGGGGATATTACATTGAGAAATAAAATGTCTGGTAACTCTACATGGCTGTGGGGAACTGTTGAGCTTTTTTTCCTCGCTTTTTGCTAGTTTGTTTACCTAATTGGTTAATATTTTTATAACAGATCCCCATTTCTCACATTTCGGATGCTGTTTATAAGACATCAATTGACTGGATCAACCAACGATCCCCTGAAGCACTTTCGTCCTTTGTATTATGGTCTTTGGATAGCATTCTTGTTGACCTGGATGCCTATCATGCTGGTGCAAAGGGTTCTAAGAAGGTCGTGCAACAAGCTTCAAAATCCCAGGTAAAACTTTCTGCCATGGATGCTTTTGCTTATATCTGTCTTTGTCTTTTTATGCATGATTTTGGTGGATGGTTATGTATAATTGCAGTACCAATGGTTGCCTATATTTATTATCGTTTTGTTAGCTAATAGCTCATTTCTCTTATCTATATCTTTAAACATGTAATTTTTTCCTAAGATTATGTGAGATTATTTTTAAAGATAGTCATTTTTTGTTAAAAAACTGTATGCGGTTTTATTTTTTGAATTTTTCTTAATGCAATATATATATATATATACTTAATTTTTTTTTTATAAAATTAAACCCTATACATGTTTGTGACTTTTGTTGGAGTGCTACTTTCATAATCACATCAATTATTGGATTCCAACTTGGATCAATTAAAAGATTAACTTTGAATAATGTTGCTAGTAGGTTTGAAGGGTTTCTTCTATTCTAACCCAAGAAACAGGTTCTTTAATAGTAAGAACTGTGAGTTTGTCATGGAATAGGTTCTTTCACGCTGACATTTTTGTCCAACTAGGGCTGGTTGAAAGATAAATTGAGAAATATAGTGTTACTTCTAATGCATATGGACATAGTCAGACTTATGAGAGTAGTGATTTTGCCAAATGAAAGACTACATTTGCCATATTTCAGAACCAATTTATGATTGTCAAATTTAATGATAAAAATAACTATTGATCATTTCAAAATTTTGTCTATTTCTAATCACCAATGAGCTTAACTTTCATTAAAAGATCTTTCATTGTTGTTCTACAGCTTTGAATTTGAATTTCGTAGGATGTCCCAGTGTTGACTTTATAATTGGTGATTTGATATTTTCAATTTAGATAACCTTTAATGATTAGAAGTGAGTGCTTTGCACTCTCTGTTATGCCTTCTCCTTTAGATAAAGGGTTAGAGGATGCAGCTGATCAATTATGATTAACTTTCACAAATGTGAGCTGATTGGTTATTCTCAATGTACTTGTTATACGCCACATTGCATTTTGGATGCAAGAAGTTTTATCTTCTTCCATTGAGGCCTAAGCTAGGTGACACCAATTCTCCATAATTCTCTAATGAGATTGTAATCACTTATAACGAGAGATGAATAACTAACTGCTACGATCGACAATTTTTGGCTTTGATATTATTTGCTCCAAGAGATGTTTAGGGCTTTTAAAATTAACTGAACTGTTGCTAGTTTTGTTGATTTTTGTTTAGAGTATATGTTTGTTTGTGCATTATGGAAAATTTTATTTTGTGATAGGTTTGTGGACTTTGTTTATAGTCATTCATTGCGGTTGGTTTGCAATTAAATAAAGGCAGCTCATTAGATTTTGTTGTCATTTAAATGCTAAGGGTGTGTTTGTTTTATTATTTTGAGTAGTATTTTTAAAATATTATTGTTAAATAGAGTTGGGTGATTATTACAAGGTAAAATTTAAAATTTAACCAAAAAAAACCTCTAGATTTGCTAATTTAACTAAACACCCAAATATATAAAATTTTTGTAAAATGATAAAAACACCCCCACCCACCCACAGTGGGCAGATTCCGGCTACCACCGTCGGAATCTGGCATTACGGCGCACGACCTACTGGATCTGGCCAGTCGTTCGTAGATCTAGCCTTTTTCGGCCAGATTCACCATGAATCTGGCTAGATCTACGACCAGATCTGGTCGTTGACAGCCAAAGATATGGCCGTTGTTGACGGTCAACAACAACCAACTCTTGGTCGTCATTGACGGTCAGATCTAGCCTTTTTCGGCCAGATCCACCGGTGCATTACCGGCCATTTCTGACCGGTAGTGCGCTGTTGTGACAGATTCCGGCCACCACCGATGGTGGTTGCTGAAATCTGACAACTATGGGTGGGTGGGGGTGTTTTGTCAATTTATAAATTTTTTTGTTGGGGGTGTTTTTGTCAATTAACAAACCTAAGGGGTTTAAAATAGTTTCTTAATTTAGAATATGATTTTGAAAATAGGGAAACAAACACGCATTTGTTTTTGGAATAAGGACAGGATAGTGGTGAAATAACGAAACAAACGCAGCATAAGTATTTTTTTCCCTCTCTATATTAGAGTTTTAAGTTGTAGAGTGAACCTATAATTTTGAGATATTAAGCTGTGACCATTTCAATTGCTTAATTCTTTCTTGTGCTACCTTTACACTCCAATTTATTGTGAGCTGTCTTTGGAATAAATCAAACGCTAGCTTGTAAATGAATCCTAAAACATTTTNTTTATGTTTATTTTTTATAGATAAAAATTATATCGTTTTGGTGAAGATGATGGTGGCAAATAATAGCTTTGATTTATGGAAAAATGATTCCTTTTTTTCTGCAGCTGAGGAGGTTCAAGAATCAACTGATGTGTATGTTATTTTTTTTATTTTTTTTTTTTATCTTGAGGTGTTTGGTTTTTGTGCTTGATTCGTTTGTTCATGGTTTGTTTTACTAGTTTTTATGATGTGGCTGTGGATTGTTTTGGGTTGAATAGCTTGTTTGAGCTGGGGATATGTGTAAATTCGATAATTTGATGGGTTTTGTGACGTGGGTTTGGGATTTTTTAGGTGGGAATTCAAGGGATTCTAATGCTTAGGCTGAATATAATTCTTTAGTTATAATATATGTTGCGTTTTATTTTGTCTTGTCTATGGTTTTTTTGGGTTTGGTTTCTAGTTCTTTTTGTATCTAATCATATAGCTGGGATATGCTTCTTTTGATTTTTATTTATTAATTTATTTGGTTTGAGTTCTGTGAGACTGTGTTGCAGGGCATTCTGAGCACGAAATAATTAAGTTTGCAAATTTTTGGGATTAGATTTGGGAGGGAAATTCTCATGTTATAGTTCAATTAGGTGTTCTTATTGTACAAGTGAGAACTGAGAAGTTAGATATTTGATTCGCGACTTACAGGTTTTTTATTCAATATTACAAGTTTTGCTTTTCACTTACAAGTGATACTTTTCTCTTTTGTAAGTCTGATGTTCTTCTTGGTAAGCATATCCGGGGTTATTTTGGTGAATCTGAAGTAGTTATGGATATGCCATCAGAGCACACTGCTATGGTTAGGTATATTGTATGTGCAGTTAAGATGAACATACAAAAGAATCAGCTTTGTGTAATTTAAAGTTATCTAAATTATTCTGTTAATGTGATGATAATAGAGATTTCCTAATCTCATTTATAATATTGAGCACCATTTTTACTACTTAATTTGTTTATTTTCCTGAATTTTTTTCTGTTTCCAGAATGGAATCAGCATACAGATTGTGGATAAGAGAAAGGAGAGAAGGCCTAAAACAAGAGGATTTAGATGAACTCTGTAGGGAGCTCCAAACGGCTTTAGGTACTGCTAAATGGCAGGTATGTTTCCTTTTCTGATGAAACCCTTTATTTCCTATGCTCATCGAAATTATGACAGACTTGAAGTCTTTTCAGTGATCATAACTTCTTCAGTGCCTAGTAAAATTCCTAGTTTGTGCTATGCATTATTGTCTTTTTTTTAAAGAAAACGAAAATTCTTGCCTTAAGTTGAGATCAATTTTGAATGAACTGTTTGGTTTGTCTGAACAATAAATTCATACTTTTCTTTTTTAGGTCTTTATAAGTGTCATAATTTTTTACCGTACATATTCTTGTGATCTAAGCAAAACTTTCTGATTAAGTTTTTCCTTGTTTATCTTTTGTTGGCTAATCAACTTCCACAAATATTGATTTTGTCTTATTGAAATGTGAATGTTGAATCAGTTGGAAGAATTTGAAAGGGCTGTCAGGTTGAGTTACAGCCATCGTTGCAATGATAATGCATCAGCTAGGCATAGACAATTCATTGCTGCCATTGAGAACCAAATTTCGCATGTGGAAGCAGCATTAAGAGAATATTTTAGTGAGGAAGGAAAGCAACCCCTTCGATGGATAAACTTGGATGAAGAAGAACGCGATGATTTAGCCATGTTTCTCTCTGGAAATTCCCCAACCTCGTCTTCTGTGAAAGATGAATGCAACAGTTCCAGATCTCTCGTGAAAAACTCACATTTGGAGAACAGCCACCACAGAAGAGATGCAGGACTAAACTTTAATGCTATCTGCCCTGGAGAAAATTCTGATGAATTAGTAGTTATAAAAGATGCTGGCAGTATCAATAAAAATAGTGAGTGTGTCATAGAAGTAAAAGATGATTCTCCTGGAACAAGCAATGACATAATCTATAAAGCAGATAGAGGAACTGGTGCTAGGAGAACGTGGAGTTCGCCAAATTTCAGTGCATTGAAGATTGTAATTGCTGATGAAGGTGGAGAAAATAACAAATTAATGCAATGCGTGGAGTCTACACCTAAGGAAAAAGGTTTCAAACCTGTTTTTTGGAAGCAGAGTTGTGTGGAACATCCACAGGCAAGGGGAGTCGTTAATGTGTTCAATCAGGTAAATTTACATGCATCACTCTGACTATACTTCATAAACTTCTTGTATTTTTCTTTGTAGTGATCTATAAATTTGTAATTTGATGGTTGAGCATGATTATAATCAATTGAAGTCCCTGGAAATCTAATAATCTTGATGTTCTGCAGCTCTTTGGTGGGGTTCAAAGACAGCGGCAAAATCCTGTGCTTCTTCCATTTAATCGCTCTGTTCGACTTATGCTTGTGTTGATGCTAACAGTTTTCTTGATTGGTAAGCTATTGACTACCTGAATTATTTAATTATTTATAGTGAACAGAACCGAAGGACCGTTCTGTGATTGAAACTGCATGTATTCTTTTGTTCTATTCAATTATTATTTAGGGTTCTTACTCTATTCTTCTTCATCCATTTATTTTTGCTGGTAAAACACATTGGAATCTGAGTTCTGAACAGATTCATGTGAAGTATCAATCTCAATATAATTAGAGTTAGCTCTTTTCATTTATATGGTCATGGTGTGTGTATAATAAAAAAATTCTGAATAGTTGAGTTGTATACTTGGGGAACTGGGTGGGTAGAGATGAATTTAATTTCTATGACAGCTAATTGACAGTGTCAAAACTTGTGCTTGCTTTAGGGATATCAAGTTGCAGTCTCTACAAGATGTTATATTTGAGTACTTAGATCTTTCTTTTGTGATTATTGTTTAGATAATCTAAATCTTTTAAACTTGTTATATATATGAAAGCAACTTAAAGGATGACTATTTTTGTGATCAGTAGATGACATTGTATGGTGTACTTTTGCTGAATTTGTTTATAGACCATTTAATATTCAGTAAAAATTACCAGAATGCTATTGTGCACATGGCATACTTGTTACATATGTATTTTCAAGGATTAGGGGGTGTAGGGGGAATGGGATGTTTGCCTTTTCAGAACTGCTAAATTGCTAAGGATGATCAAATTAAAAAAATACTTTTGGTGATAAAGTAAACAATTTTTGACTGCTAGCACTGGACCTTCTCAATCCCTCCTGAAACTAGGCTGTTTTACAACTTATATTATTTATTTGTATGGACATCTTGTCCATTCTTGTTTTCTCTCTACACTTTTTATAGAGATCTTTGTTTCTTAAGCAAAAAAATAACTTATATTAATTATTTCTCCATGTATATGACCACGTGTTTTGCTCTTGTGGACAATATGGACCCCTTTAAATTGGGTTCCACTGCATTCTAAGAAATTTTGAGTTGATAGACAGTGAATGTCTGATCGTGTTATGCTATACCACTCAAAACACATTGAATTTTTTTAGCATGAAGTGAATATCATTTGTTATATGAAGTTACTAAAAAAAAAAGGTTTTAGATACAAGGTTGTTTAATGTTATGAGTTCTGATGCCTTGAAAGTGACTTTTTTCTGAACCCTGGTAAAATAGTTTGCAAATTGTGTACAATATTGTTTTAAAGGGAAAAGTGAGAGGTCGTTGAATCTATAATTTTTCTATCTGCTGCTAATGGTTTTGTTTCTTTTTTGATAAAACATGCTAATGATGGATTCTCATTTTTTTATTCTGCAGTGCCATTTGTACTTTATTCAACATGAGAACAAGTGGTAGTTTACTGCTCATGATCAAGGATTCAAGATCAGAGGTAATTGTAGTCCCTCAGCTAATTTTGTTACATAAAAAATTCTCAGCCTGATCATCTATAGATAGTGATTTTGCGGATTCCTCAGCTTAATCTTCGCAAGTTAACAGTTTTGATCAGACTCTTTAATATCTAACCTAAGAATTTAAAAAGATCTCTGCACTGATGTCTACATATGAGTTCCTGTTTTGCAATCGAATGGCATGACACGTCAATAATTTCCTATGTTATTTACACCCGACAAAGAGTCTGTTATTCAACTTCTGTAACTTCTGTTTATGCTTGGGGAGTTGGGGGAGGATTATATTCCGAACCAGCAAAATCTAAATAGTTTGAGCTTAGAAACAGGGGAGTTGATAGCTAAAAATGAAGGTACCCTTCAGTAAGTGTGTAGGGAAGTTCTTCTCACGCCTTCTAGTTGTACCTAAAGATACTAGCACGCATGCAAAAGCCTCCAATTACTCTTTGTTAATATTCTGTAACATCCCAACAATTGCTTTCTGTTACTCTGAATTCTTATAGAATTAAATTCTTTCGTCCATTGAATCTGCAGGAAATGGAGCTATTCATGAAACCGGAAATGCCTTCAGGCAGAGGATGCTTGTAATTCCACAAAGTTGTCCAGTCCTTTTATAGTTCTGGAAGTAGCCTAAAACTCCTCATCGAAACACACATACAACTAGAAACAGGGGTTAGGTTTTCATTTTAGATGTGTTTGCCATAGAAGTTGTAAATTGATTCATATAGTTGTAAACATATCGTTCGAAGATGAATTGAGTGCTGACTGTCCCATTTGAATTGAGTGCTGACAATCCCATTTGAATTTAGCTTCAAACTGAACATAGATGAGTTATAGAAGGATTGTCAATCATGCATATGGGCCAAAACCATGACTTCCTATGTATTATTTGAAAAAGTGTCCTCTCTTTATATTTGGTAGCAGTTACTCAATGTTATTATCAGATCCATAAGTTCATTTTCTGGTAGGCCAACTAGATAGTAAGACCAGTAATATTAAAATTTTCATGAGAATAGCACAAGTGGTTTAAATTTAGTCCTTATATATTGGTCAAGATTTAGAATAAACTTTTGCAATAAACATGACCTTATAATTGACTCTTGAGATAATAAAATTGAGATGATGAAAGAACTACACTCCAATGTAGATTTCAACAAACCAATCAGTAAATAAAAAAAATTAGATTTCCTCTCTATAAGTGTGGTTATAGTTAATTTATTTGAGATGGGTTTATAAGAAATTCTTTTGACAAAAATCCAATAACTGTGGACGTAAAAATCTATCTGTACGGAAGGGGGTCTAATCCCATGAGGTTGAGGTCACTAGCGATCCGCTGCACCTGCACACGTAGAGAAACAAATGCGTGAAGCGAACGGAAAACATCGGGGTGGTGTTTGCCGTAGGCATTCCGACGCTCAAGTCAGCAAGACTGAAAGAGGCTAGTATAGTGAGAGCTAGGGAGTAGAGAAGTTACCGGAAGTCTAGTTGGGGGCTGTGACTACGACGATGATGTGAAGCTCTTAAGTAAGAGCTTCGGGTGTGAAGGTGTAATGTAATCTCCCTTGTGAGAGGGCTGGCCTCTACTTATATAGTAACTATCTGGTCTCCCAATCCTAGTGGGAGTAGGAGTCCTAGTGTGACTCTGATACGAATCCTAGAGGAATTAGGGCGGTGGTGAGCTGTCTTACCAGTGTTCGAATAGGAAGGTGATTCCGAATAGGAAGGTGTCCTCGAACAGGAAAGTGATCCCGAATAGGAAGGTGACCTTAAACAGGAAGATAACCTCGAATAGGGAAGTGATCTGTGGGTGCCTTGGGCTCTGGACTTGCTCATAAGTCCAGGAAGTGAACTAGGATTGGGAGGCTTGCGCTCAGATGGTTTGGGCCGACTGTACCTCATATCAAATGGGCCTAATCCAGATTGGGCCGCAGCAGGATTGGGCCTGGTCTCTTCCTCATTCAATCCCGTTTTCCTATTTAGGCCAAGGACGATTTTTGGCCCTAACAGTTTGCCCCCCACTCTCTGAGTTAAGATTTTCTTAAGACAGAGAGTAGGAAGCGATCGAGGCGCGCTTGGTCTCCCTTCCTGGACAACCGATTGTTGGTGTAGTTGAACAGTTTAATGTAGGTGATTGGTAGTCGAGGGTCGTTCGGTATCCATTATCGATCCGGAGTATGCCATCATCCCAAGAGGGTGTGCTCGATCGGTGTGAAGGGCCGAAGGGCCGAAGAGATTGAGACAACGAGACTTCTGAAGCTCATGTGCTCGTTCGGTGTGTCTTGCTGACTGGGGAAATGAGCAAGCATCCCATGGCAGGGGTATCCGCTCGGTATGCCGGGTCGAATGAGTTGGAGATGATGTTAAATTGAAGGTACGTTCTGTTGGGGTACTCAGGTGATCGAGTGGGATGAAATCGACTCGGCCGACTTGTTGGACCGTATGACTTGCGCTTGTGATTCCACGGCACTCTTTACTGGATGCCAAAGGGCCAAATAAAATGCGTAAACTTGACCCATGGCTGCCCACTCGTCCGCTATGGAAGACCGAATGGGCGAGGCCCCTTGGCTTGATCGCCTCGAGGGTGAACATGCACTAGACTGCTCCTAGCCAGTCGCCCCGATTGGGAGAATCTTCTGGACATGAAGCATGGGAGTGTCGGCTTCGTTGTGGGAGCCGGCGTGTTGCAATGTGTTGGCTCGGTCAGGTAGGAAGGGCGATTGAATCTTTAAACAGGTTAAGTTTGTGTGTTGATCGGTGGCGTGGGGTGGAGTGAGTGATGATAGTCAAAGTTTGAAAAGACCGGGTCGGTCGGTCAGTCGGTGGTATAGGGAGAGTAATGATCAAATACTTGGTTCCTGGGGAGTGAGGATGATGGAGTTGAGTCGGTCAGTCGGTTGGGTAGAGTGGAGATCCAATACTTGGTTTCTGGGGAGTGAGGATGGTGGAGTTGAGTTGGTCGATCGGTTGGGTAGAGTGGAGATCCAATACTTGGTTTCTGGGGAGGATGGTGGAGATGAGTCGGTCGGTCGATTGGGTAGAGTGGATACGCTAAAAATGTCTGGTTCGTGGTCGAGTGGTTTTAGTAGAGCTGGGGCATATGTCGGGAATGAGTACGAGAGTGCCCTAACCATGTTGATGATGCCCGAATAGGGTGTTCCGGTAGGTATACTGACCTGTGTGAACGTGGCTGCCCAAGGGACAAATGCTGCTAATCCGAGTGGTTCGGGCAGGTAAGATGGGAGTGGGGAAGACTCCGAAGGAGTTGGTAGTCCATCCTCGTCTAGTAGTGGCTCTGAGGACGAGCCGAGTCAACAGGAAAGTGGGATTCTAAGCAGGGATTATCTGCCCGTACTTAAAGAAAATGACGTGTGGCGGCTCTAGACAATGTATCACATTCCAGATTTGATCCAGATCAGGGCGCCACGTTCGTATGAACAGGTTGACTGGGAGGTAAAAGGCTGGGTGAGTGTTGTCGATAGAGTGACCGAGTCGGAGATAGGAGAGACGACTCGCACCGATGACACTTAGTTCTATTTTTCTTTTGCTCATGTATCTCGGGGCCTGCGATGCCCTTTCCTGGCGTGTGCGCCTTTCATTGTATTATGAACTTAGCCGCTTGAGGCTTCTTCTATATGGTACTTGTGATTCTGTTTTTGATGCTTTTCCTTATGGTGAATGATTTGTTGATTGCTTCCTTGTTCGTAGATGTGCTAGGGGTTGAGCCGTATGCTTGTGTTATGATTTTGGTGTAGCCTAGTGGCTGAGTCGTGTGAACTCTCTGTTGAGTTGGGTCGATGACTTGTCGATTTTGAGGTGTAAGAACCTTTCACTTGGTCGGGCCGACTGAATGTGTAGCTTCATGAATTGGGCAAGGCCGATCGAAGGTGTGGTTCCACGAATCGGGCAAGGCCGATCCGAAGGTGAAACTGTGGATCGAGCAGGGCCGATCCGACGGTGTAAATTCGTGGATCGGGCAGGGCCGATCCGAAGGTATAAATTCGTGGATCGAGCAGGGTCGATTCGAAGATGTAAATCTGTGGGTCGAGCATGGTCGACCCGAAGGTGTACAAAATCTGTGAAATCCGTGGATCGAGCATGGTCGATCCGAAGGTGTAGATCCGTAGATCGAGCAGGGTCGATCCGAAGGTATAAATCCATGGATCGAGCAGGGTCGATCCGAAGGTGTAACAAACATTTGATCGAGCAGGGTCGATCTGAAGATGCAAATCCGTGGATTGAGCATAGTCGATCCAAAGGTGTAATTAACATTTGATCGAGCAATTTCGATTTCGAAGATGTAAATCCGTGGATCGAGCAGAGTCGATCCAAAGGTGTAACAAACATTTGATCGAGTAGGGTCGATTTGAAGATGCAAATCCGTGGATCGAGCAGGGTTGATCCGAAGGTGTAATTAACATTTGATAGAGCATGGTTGATCCGAAGGTGTAATTAACATTTGATAGAGCAGGGTCGATTTCAAAGATGTATATTCGTGGATCGAGCAGGGTCGATCCAAAGGTGTAATTCCATGGATCGAGTAGGGTCGATCCGAAGGTGTAACAAACATTTGATCGAGCAGGGTCGATTTGAAGATGCAAATCCGTGGATCGAGCAGGGTCGATCCAAAGGTGTAATTAACATTTGATCGAGCAGGGTTTATTTCGAAGATGTAAATCCGTGGATCGAGCAGGGTCGATCAAAAGGTGTAATTCTGTGGATCGAGCAAGGTCGATCCGAAGGTGTAACAAACATTTGATCGAGCAAGATCGATCCGAAGTGTGAAAACTCATGAATCGGACAGGGCTGATTCGAAGGTGTCAGTTGCTGAATAATGCTTTATTGAATTCAGGCCATGAGACCGACTCTCTATGAAGGCGGTGGATGGGCACACTCATCCTTTTTAAATAAAAAATGAAAAGACAACAAATATTTAGATTGATTTCACCTAAAAGTCGTAGCGTGTGGGATAGATTGCATTCCA